GCGCGGCTTTGTTCCTGCCGGGATTTGGGGATCGGGACCGGGGGTGTGGGTGTGGGTTACCCCGGGGGGTGGTGGTGGTGGTGGAGGAGGGGGGAGCCCCTCAGTCCCGGCTTTCACCCCGGGAGCCCCCCGGGGGGTGCCCGGTTGGAGGTGCAAAGCCCAGCGTGGAGCCAGGTCCCCAGCGTAAAAGAAAAAAATTTAAAAAAACTTAAAAAACGGGGCTGCTGGCACCTCTAAGGGCTTTTTTTTTTATTTTTTTTTTTTAATTACCACCCCGAGGTGCCCCAGGTCCCTTAAACCTTATTCCGTGGGCATCCCGGCAAATGCGCTGCCTGTGGGCACGGCTTCACCAGCACCCTGTGTGTGTGTGTGTGTGTGTGTGCGCGTGTCTCTGTGTCTCACCACGTCCCCGGGCTCCAGGGGATTCCAGCAGAATTTACTTTATATGGTGAGAACGTCCCTCCTGGAAGAAGTCTTTTAGATAAAATAAGAAAGCGTTCTGTAAACTTAATATTCCCCTACTGCCAGTAGCTGAATGGCGTGGGCAGAGGTGATGGGATGTACTCGCCTGAGTGTAGTACACTGGGGAGTCTAAACTATTGGGAATGTAAAATTATACAACGTTCTGTTGAAGAAACTGCTTGAAAAAGCCAAATAAATGAAAAAAAAAACCACCCCACACCACAAACAAACCCACCCCACCACAAAACCAACAAATAGCTCAGCCAGCAGAAAGCTCCTCAGAAAAATGGTTTGTTAAAGCGCAGAAATACTGAGTGACAAGAAAATTGCCCTTTTGTAATAGCTGGTTATTTTGTACACTTAGTTGTCATCTAAAGTTAAAACAGTCTTTAAGAAGTGATTAAGTTCCGAGTTGCACAATATTAAATGCCAGGCTCCAAAACAAGTCAACGCAAGATTAAATCTCAGGCTTCTATCTAGGAAAGCCATAAATGGGTTGTTACACCCAAAAAAACTTATAACACTGGTCCCTCTCCTCAAAAATAGCAGTAGGACATTTTTTTTTTTTTTCTTTGCACAACTAATGGGCAGCAGCAGGGTTATTTGTCTGTTTGTGGGTGGTGGCTGCACTTGTGAACCTGTTGGTGTTCTTGTCAGGTAACCTCTACAGCAGACACATCCAGGTAGATGGAGAGATGCTGGCCATCCAAGTGCAAGACACTCCTGGAGTTCAGGTGAGCTAGAAGCAGCCATGCAGTTCTCCAAAGCAGCTCTAAATATCCGTGTGTGTGTCTCCTTCTGTGTGCAGCATCTTGTTGTGGTCTGTTTCAGAGTTTTTGTTCCTTTGGGAGAGGTGGTAACTCCTGGTACAACCAGTGAAGCCAGATGTGTTGCGTGCCTTTACTACGCTGGTAGTAAAAGAAAACAACTCGCTGTTTTGATGAATCATTTGCACGTTGGAGGCCCGTTACTTTTGCGTGGCTGAATTACTCAAGTGTCTCGTTTCTGTACATTGGGAACATTTACACAGAATTGTTTCTGGTTTTGTGTCTAATAAGGTACATGTGGAAGAAAATGTTAGGAGCGCTGCCCAACGCGCCTCATAGATGTGTGTGAGAGAAAGCAAAGCCTGCGAGGCTGTGGCCGTGCTCATTAGTGTGTCACCAGTTAAAAGTTTTCAATGTATAGACCTGAGTAATGCTGGATCGTTGCCTTTTTGAACTGGGCAACACTCCAGGTCTAAATGCTTCCAGCTCATATCTTTGCTTCCCCAGACTTACTGTCTAGCCAGTTAATTTCCCATTCTGTGGAACTACAAAGTCTTTCTCTGCATGCAGAACTACTCAGGTCAATTTTCCATTTGAGTATAGCAAACTCCAGTGTTAAATTCCAGCTTTTTGCAGCTGAATCAACATGCATTTATTCGCCGCGCTCAGATTAGGTTTGTACTCACAATGTGAAATGCAAATATATATAAAGCTGAAGCTGTAAACTGCTATTTGGCTTTACAGGCTCTTAAAGACAGGTTTCTTTAATCTTTTACGACTCCAGCTATCTAATTTGAGACCGTTCCCTTTCTCAGATCCACGAGCACAGTCTGGACTGTAACGAGCAGCTGAACAGATGCATTCGCTGGGCAGATGCCCTGGTGATTGTCTTCTCCATCACAGACTATAAGAGCTATGAACTACTCAGTCACCTCTACCACCACGTTCGGCAGTTGCACCCAGGAAACGCGGTCCCCGTGGTCATCATAGCCAACAAAGCTGACCTCTTGCACATCAAGGAGGTGGAGCCTCAGCACGGACTTCAGCTGGCCAACATGCTGGGCTGCACTTTCTACGAAGTGTCCGTCAGCGAAAACTACAACGATGTCTTCAACGCCTTCCACCTCCTCTGCAAAGAAGTCAGTAAACAGCAAACCACCAGCACCCCCGAGAGAAGGAGAACCTCCCTCATCCCTCGGCCGAAATCGCCCAACATGCAGGACCTGAAGAGGAGGTTTAAGCAAGCGCTGTCTGCCAAAGTGAGGACCGTCACTTCTGTTTGATGGCGGAGCTGCTGGTATGCCCAGGGCTCAGCCTGAGACTGAAACCCGGGGTGTTTGACACTGGCACGTGTAGAGCCTGAGGCATGGGGACAGAAGGCTGGTTCAGGCAGCCTTTTCCTTGGCTGTAGGAACAAGCGGTCGCTTAAAAAAAGGACCAGCGGCAGATTGGAAAAGGGGGGGAAAGAAATGAACCCCAAACTCTTGAAATGGTTTGAAGATGTGACTTGTAGAACAAGTATTTTCATTTGGAAAAGGAACTTTCCAGTAAATGAAACAAGCCTTCAGTTTGCCTTTTCTCCAACGGGACAGATTTGACTTAACCCTTGTGCAGAAACAGCTTTTTAGCTGTGACTCTCAACTCCTTGTACTTGAGCAGGGAAACACCCTGAACTGCAGGTCACTGTTCAGAAGTAACCACTCCAGTCTTGTTTTTCACTTGGATGAAGGACAGCATGATGTATCTGTTTAATTTTATTGCACAGTAGAACTGTTCATTTCCCTTGTATTTCAAAACAAACGAGCAAACACTTTACAAATTCTGTTAAGAAAAAAAAAAGTGTAAAATAAGTGGATACCACTGAGTATCAAGACTGTAAACAATGGCCCTTTATTTTTTTACTAGCTGTGTTATTGCTGACAACTTGACCAGACTCCTTGTATGCAAAACTGTTGTCCACAGGGTGTAAACGTATCTAATTACAAATAACTTGTGGGGTTTTTATACTGTCGGGGGAGGCGGGGGGGAGGGAAATACTGTCCAGACTAAATGATCCAACAGCTTTTGAGGAATGAGTGTGGAGCTGGAGGGGTCGTCCATTACATCTTCTGCTGGTGTAAGACACTTCTCTCTGTGCACCATGGGTGCAGAAGGAAGGTGGCTGTGACCCAGGTGGGTGTGAAACCCCACTGGCTCCAGGTGATGAAGCTGGTGGCTTGTTCTGAGCTGAGCCAGGCCGTTTGTCCTTAGACACGTGTGGCAGACTTATATCTAACTCTTCTTTTTTTTAATTATTTTTATTTTACATTGAGCCAATGGAGTTCACAGGCTAAAGGCCTTACACATATGCACTTTAAAAAGCCAGTTGTGCTTTTTGTTTAAACTGTAACTTATTTATTTTGTGTACAGTTGCTCCTCATGGGGAGTGGACTTTTCCTTCTTACTGCCTGGTTCAACATTAAATTTTTGAATTGCATGTTTGGCTTGTGTGTTCTTCGAGGGCAAGAAACGAGGGGCAATAACCAGTAAGATGTTGAGACAAAGTAATGGTTTTCTCAGGGCAGTTAACGTGCACTGCAGAAAGAGTCAGAAAGCCTTTCCTGCCTATACTGTTGCTTTATTAGCATAAACCACAGGGGGGGAGCTCTCACAAGTGCTTTACAACTTCCTTCTAAGAAATTAGTTTAGGAGAGGAACTGAATAAGGCAGAGACCTTTCAAATGAAAATGGGATTCTTTATCTCCTCTTGTTAAAAAAAAAACACAACAAACCACCAAGAAAAAACCCAACCAAAACTCTGGTAAGAAAAGAATGATGTAAGAAGGTAGGTCAAAATCTGGAAGAACACTGAATCTTTTAAGTGACTTCTGGTTTCTTTGTAAAAAAACCAACCAAACAAATGGAGCAGCTTTATATATTGAGTTATATGACAATGGAGAACTTAATCAAATTGCTACAAGTCTCCAATAATTTTATTTGTGCTTAAAGTAGCTTTATGGAGAGCCTTCCTGAGGAGAATGTGTGGGAATGAGAGCGATGGCCACACAGGCTCAACTGGTCAGTGTGCAGCTGGGAAACCCCAACAAGGTCCTGCTGATGAGAATCTTTTTGACCATCAGCTACCAGCCAAGCGACTTAGCAACAGATCTGAGCTTGGCCATCCAGTCTGAGCTTATTCCCAAATGCTTATTAATGTGATTCTGTAATATAGTAATAAACCCATGTGCCAAGGGTCACCTTGTCTTTTCTCCTCCTCGTGCCTTTTGAGTGTTGCTTAGCGTCACATGCAGATGGCTTAGATGCTCCTTGATGTCCTGCACCTGCCCAAGTAAAGTCTTTTCTGTGCTGTTCCTGCTCAAACGTGATGGACAAGAGACCTCTCATCCCCCTGGCATTTTCCCTGACCACAGAGTACGTGTAGATACTTCCTAGACATAAGGAGCTAACCACGACACGCGGGTCACTGAACAGGCTCCACTCCAGGCTTAGTCTAGAAGAGGAGCAGGGTCTTGTGACCATCTCCTTTCAGCTCTTCAGCTACTGAGTATTAGATTGTGGCTGGGTCCCACTGGCTGAACAGACTCCTCCAAAATGTTTGTGTGTCAAGAGGAGGATGATGATGCTGAAAACTAGTCTTTGCCTCAGTAAGAGGAGCTGCTTGACCTGTAGGAAGTGGAAGAGGACCAATGTCTGCTTAAACTCACCACCTTCTCATTATCCTGTGTAGTATGTCCTCAGATGGCCAAGTCAGAGACCTGAGAGCGTCTGAAGGTCGGTGAAGGTCGGAACGGTGAAGGAGAGAAGGTCGGAACGGTGAAGAAGAGAAGGTCTCAACTGCCAGGCTCTAACATCTCAGGAAAGTGGGAGCATCTCAGAGGTGTGAGCACCTGAACTCACCAGGCAGCAATGGCCACTGGGTGCAGGACAGCCTCTCTGCTGCCAACAGTGTGTGGAAACGCCTTCAGGACACCTCCCAGACCAGAAGGTCTAGGTTCTTAGGGGCAAGAAATAGTGAAAAAGGAAAGGCCATCTCAGGAATATGCAGTCCTGGCTAGTGCTTCTACTAGGAGAGGAAAAGAGGGATGAGGTTTGGCAATGTAAGAACATTAATTTATTGATTATAGAATTTATAAAACATCTGTATTCTAAGATTAAACAGTACAGAAGAACAGAAGAGAAACCAAGAGGTTGGCTTTTTGCTTTCCAGTCGCTCTGTTCAAACTATTTCTTGAGCTTTTAGCATTGCAATCTCATAATATTTCTCATTTTTTATAGCACAAAGTTCCATTCTATAGTCATTCTTATAAATCTCTCTTCCATAGAGGCAACATTGTCCATGCTTTATAATCGGTCCATTGTTTCCTTCCAGCCACCCAAAAGTGAATTTAAATCAAAATGCACCCTTTTCTGAAGACCATTATAAACATTTAAGAGAACTTAGGCGAGCTAGTGAACAAAGGTTAAGAAGCTACTTCCCATTTAATCTATTCCTTTGGCATAATAAGGAATGCTATGATGGAGTCAACGTCACTTATAATTTCCCATTCTCATCCCAGCGTAAGCAGTAGCAAGAGGATGCAGCTTTAGAGCTCCACCATTTTACGCTGCCATTCGGAAGTTCTTGGTGCTTACAGGCAATCACAGTCTCTATTGGCTGCTGCTTTTTTACTCACAGATTGTATGGAAGTTTTATAAGGAAAAATTACATAACTGGATTTGATAGCAGCTCTTTCACAATCATAATTAAAAATAAAAGCTGTTCGCTAATCAGAAATCTAGCTCAAGAAAGAATCTGTCGCTACGGCCTCTTGAAAAATGGGATCGTGCTTTTCTTTTTTTTTCCCTCTCTTTTTCTTTTTTAAATGCATGAGAGGGGAGGATTCTTCCAGGGTTATCATCAAACCATCACAGCCCATATGTCCTCCCGCATAAACCCACAGAGAAGTGTGCCATCAGAAACAGCCTCTTCTCCTGGGACTGTGGGTGGAGAAACTAGAGCAGGAAAGAGGAAGCTGAGAGAGAAGCAACCACATAACCCAGCCCTTGGGTCTGGCTCTTGCTTCTCTGCCCCCACCAGTCCTGCTGGGAGACCATCACCGGACTGGGAGCTACTCCATCTGGGTAGCACTCTGTCACCTCTCTGGGGCGAGGGATGAAGTAAGAGCAGAGGTGGTTAATGCTGTATAAGGCACATGAGTTGCAAGGGAGCCTGACAGAGAGGGTGGGTTTTTGCTGTCCTTCCACTCCCTCAGCAGCATTTCCCACCAGAAGTCACCCCAGCGAAACCATCAGGAAAGAACCATCAGAGAGAAAAGTACAGCTCAGGGAGGGCAAATTCAGCATCACCTGGTCCTCGGCTGCTCTGTTTCTAGGGAATTATTACAAGTGATCATCCTGGCCACGCAGAGCGGAGCTGGGGTGATCCAGCACCACATGGTGTTATGTTTAAGGAGGGGGAGTTGTTTCTGGACCATTTTGAAGAGCTGCCTGTGAGCTGCACATGTTTCCCCACAGCCAGATACCCAGCTGCTTCACCCCGCTGGAGCCATAGCCATGTGAGGGGGGTGAGACACTGGAACAGGCTGCTCAGGGAAGCTGTGGTTGCCCCATCCCTAGAGGTGTCCAAGACCAGGCTGGATGGGGCTTTGAGCAACCTGCTCTAGTGGGAGGTGTCTTAGCCCATGGGAAGGGGGTTGGAACTAAATCATCTTTAAGGTCCCTTCCAACCCAAACCATACTACGATTCTGTACCTGCAGGGAACATGTCATTTTTTGGAAAGGCTCTTGGGAAGGGTGACAGACCAGGGATGTGATGTTTCCAGCTGAGGCACAGTCTCCTCTTCTCCACAGAACCTCCCTCCTCAGATATCGGCGTCAGGCTGGAGACGGTCTGGGGCAAACAACAACTCAACAGCACTGCATGGCGTCAGGAGCGCAGAGGAGAGCACCATCACCTGAAAGAAGGGGGAGAAGAAACAACAAGTCAGAACGAAGGGGACCGAGACTGCTCACACTGCGAGCCACTGTTTGCTTCACCCAGCGCTAGACAGGCTGTGTGTTTCTGGTGTTTACTGGCAGGGCAACACAACTTGCCCAGTGAAACTGTCTGCTCGCTAATAACGGTAGTTAAGTCACTTTAAGGAGCATAATGAGTGGTAGCATTGTGCTCTTAATGAATGTGTGCTTTGACTCATTTCTACCCACATCTTACCCGGGGATTTGTTGTGACTGCCACCGCGTTTACTGCGAGGCAGCAGCTGGTGGAGCTGGGGGTTCCTCTCCTGTAGCACAGGTTTGAGTGATGGCTGTTTCCTCCCAGCTGAAGGGAAGGTGAGCACCACAGCGGTGCTGCTGGGACCTACAGTTCCTGCTCAGAACAGGCACAGGCTGTTCTGCACATCAGGACCAAGGCTCAACCTCAGGCACTCCCGGGACGCTATTGCTTTTGTTTGTCGAAATTTTTAACCAAAGATGGGTCTGACGAATGAAACCATCACTCACTACAGCCACGATACACACCCTGCTAGAGACAGGCATCTGTTTTTATTAAGTGAAAACCAAACCAGTACGAAGATGCCCAGTGTGAAGCCTTCCCTGCGGGGCAAAGCGTGTATGCTCTGGCTGCGTGGAGCCAACTCAGGGTCAGGGCTGTAGGACACTGCTCTTAGAAAGCCCCAAGTTCAGCAGTGTCTGTAGGGTCGGGGCTTCAAGCGAGGATATGGGGGCACATTTATCTTACCAGCCCACCTGAACACGAATTTACTTCTTCAGTGCAAACCCAGGGAGAAGAACAAGCATCAACAAGGGCTGTGCGTCCCTCTCCTGCGGTAGCAATCAAACCCCCCGTGCTTTTCATCGCACGGCTCAAATGTGTGGCAGTGCTGCGTTTCAACCCTTTTTGTTGTTCTTTCTTTCATCTTTTCACTTCAAATAATGAAAGGAATCTGGAGTTAAGTTACTACAGATCCCTTCTGTACCGATGATAGTCTCCCCCTCGCTTCTCCCCTTCCCTTGTCCTCCCACACAATCTGCGGCAAACTGACACTGATTATCTCTTCTCCTTCCTATGGATGAAAAACTCTGTAATTTGCAGATGCCAAAGGCTGACACTGTCTTACTTATGTTACGTGAGAATCAGACTATAGCACAGTATGTGCTCATCGTGTTATCACGCAGCTTAATTCGGAAAAACACGAGGGGACACGTTACCAAAGCTTTTTGGGTGTACAAGCCAAACATCAACAATAGCCACTGCCAGATAAAAGCAATTTCTTCTCCGAGTCCCACCACTGAACCCTGAGGGGGATTTGTGCAACTAATAGCAAGATCAGAGAGAAAAAGAAGAGCTGTGAATTTAATGCCTGAAAAGGATGCAGTGAAATACAGTGGGACGTCCCTCCTTTACCCCCCCGTATCCGCTCATTAAGGGGGATTAATGTGAATATTTGTTCCTTCATTTTTACAGAGAAGAATTGCCCAGATAGCTAATGTCCATCTGTTCTCCAGGCAGGTCTCTTCAGGACAGTGTATCTCCTTTGCAGACCTTCTCCTCGATTGCCTGAAGGGCTACCCCTCCCGATGGCTCCCATCCCGACCCACTGTGCTGTGAGGGGCAGTTCCCCCTCAGCAGAGGGCAGGGAAGGATGCAGGTAACATCTGATGGTGCTTCTGGAGGGGTTTGTCTGTCTGCAAGCCTCAGCCACAACCACACAGACGGTGGTGTATGTTGGGAGGGTGAAACACCCACTCAGGCTCTTTCCCCTGTTTTAACTCTCCTGATTAAAGTGGGGGAAAAAAAAAAAAAGTAATTTCTTCCAGTGAAAGTAGGACACCCCTCACTAGGTTGAGGGAGCTATTCACCACCATCCAAAAACAAATGATGCGTAGGAAACGCTGTATTCCTTTGTGCTCCTCCATGAGAAATAGATTTGTCATTCATACTCAGATGTAGAGCAGTTCTGTGGATGGAAGCATGTGTCTCCTACTCCACATTTAAATGTCATTTCCCTCAAATCCAAACAACTGCTGAAGTAATCAGTACGTCCTGTCAGGTTTTTGTTTTTTTTTTTTCTCTGTTACTTTCCTCAATTCTTTATTTTTGCACCCACACGGCTCTCCACTTCTCCAAGAGCCAATAATTAGTATAAATGTCAATGCTTTGTTTGACTGGAAGGGACTGGGGAGGCCAGCATTTCCCTGATGCCTGAACACCACAAAAAAGCTCTGTTAAATGCTGGCTCAAGTTAGACAAATGCCTGGCTTTTTGAAAAGAGAATAATCCCAAACAGGTGGCACACATTCACAGCCATAGTGCAGAAATCCAGGTAAATCCAACAAACTCATAAACTTTTTCTATATCAGAGACTCACACAACTGCTTCTTTTCTTCTTTCTCCTTCTCCTCCCACCTCTCCCCCCGAGTCCTTTCACCTCTAACACAGCACATTTGGACAAAGGGCAAGATGCAGTAAAAAGCTTAAAATTCTTTAGGAATCTGCCTCAGAGGGTGACCTGCTGCCGGGGTTAAGCCCAAGCAAAGCAACACCAGATCCCATGTCACCACTGTCAAGCCTCAAGTCCCTCTAGAAAGCCAGTCAAAAGTCTCCCTGCATAGTTCTCCACCAGCTCACGTGTTAACCCTCTGCTTATCTTTCTGGGTGTATTAATACATTTCGGGTGTGGATTAACTTGTCCATCAGTGTGTCACAACTCAATGCCCCCTCAAGACGGGAAAGAATTTTACGCGCTGTTTGGAGGAGATTAGCGACAGGCTAATTGGGGAGAAACGTGTTATCAGATCAAAAAAACCCCATTGCTGAAAATGGCACTCCATCTTACAAAATGCTGCTTGAGACTGCCGTGTAAAGACAACTCAAACGTGGAAAACACGTGTCAAACCCAGGGGCCGCTCAGCCTTTGGTTGGTTCCGTTTTGCTAACGATTTCTCACTAATCAAAGCTGCATTCCATAGGAATTGGAAACAAGATGTTTACAAGCCACCCTGGAAATTAGGCTTCTGATTACGATGCAGCTGGTTACACAGCACTTCTTAGCAGTTTTCAGATTACCCCGTGTATCTGCACTACTCAGCAGATATCTGATTCCTCCTCCACAGTTAACATTGATTTTTAACATCTCGGATGCCAGCACAGCCCACCCAGCCTCCTCCTCTCCTTCCCCGCTCCATTCAGATGACAGCTGCTCTAGTCAAGTTCTGCTGCCAGAGAGTGGAAGAGGCAAAGATCAGCCATGTGGACGCTACTGAAGCTTCACCATGGGAGCCATCCCCTTTCCAGAAGTCCTACAGCCTGTCCAAGGGCTGCAGAGACTTGGCACTTTCTCCACATCACCTACTTCAGGCTACTTAAGGCATCTAGAGGTCAGATACCTATCAGAGATACCTGGGCTGGACCAGAGTCCAGGACAGCTGTATCCAGGCTAATTTATCTTGCTCCTTGACAATGCCAATTGACTTGTCTTCAGGGTCACCACTGATATATCACTAGATGGTACCCAGACCCTTAGCAGGCTCCTCCTAAGCATCTCTGCACTACGTCCTTTACATGCACTGCTAGGGAGCCTGTAGCCTTTTGGGCAGCAAATGTTTCTATTTATAAAGAACACCAAGAAATCAATCTTTTGAGACATGATAAAAGCTCCTTCAGAATAATGCCAGTCTGTTCTTAACTCTCCTACCTGAGTTTGAACTTTTATTGCTGACTCTAACATGTAAAAAACAGACCCTTGGTGCCTGAGCGCTTGTTGCCTACAGATATTTTACAGATAAATCCTAACACCGTTCCTGTCTGTGTGGCTGTGGCTTCGTGTAGGTTTAGCACCAGTGCTATAAGGAACATTATCTGATTAATTTTCTTAGTCTTTGTTCAGATAGGAACTGTACATTTACAGCTGTTTTTACCTGGGTACCAGGTTTGCGTGTTGCTACCAGATCCTTCACCATTTTGACCTCGGAGACTGTCACTCCGCCAACCATAAAGATGATCAGAAGAGGATGATCACCAGGGTGAGGGCGATTCACCTGCAAAATGAAGGAAAGCATTATTTGTAGTTGCTCCAGCAACTACAATTGGAGCTGTAATAGTCCAGCTCTAAACTACAGTTTGGAGCTGTAGTAGTCGAGCTCCAAATGTATGGACTAGCAGTGATCGGCTCCCTGAGCTGCTGGAGGAAGACTAATGAGGAAGCTCAGAAAGAAACGTTCATGGAATGTTGGTTTCCGTAGCAGCTGAGAGGGAAAATCAATGGGGATGATGCCCAGTTAAAACTAATGGACTGTTTCCAGGAAACTCCTAGAGGAGTTTCTCGTGAGGTCTGAGGGCTTCTCCCTCCATTCCTTCTTCATTTCTTTCCTCCCTTTCCCAGACTGGGAGGAGAGTACTTGGGTGGATGCAGAGTTTGGACACAGGTACACTTGGGTTTTTAAGGAATGAGGGGTAAATTACTACCCAGTAGAAGGAAGGAGTCCAGCCTAAACGTGCTAGAATCCCTGCCTGAGGTCAGCAATGGAAAGAATCATAAGTAACGTGTTTTCACCAGTCCAGCAAATAATCCTTTATAATTCATCCAATGAAAATAAATCAGGTTCATTATAGTATAAAAGCGGTTTCTAGGTTGTTTCACTTCAGGGTTTTCAATACTTCTATGACTGGGCTGTAACTAATACGGAGAAACTTCAGCTCAAACAAAATACTTGTTTCATTTTCCCGCAATTATAATTAAAATGGACCAAACATTCCACCCCAGTTAAGACTTTATAAAACCACGTTTTAATTTTAAACATGGAGGTGATGCTTTACATCAGTTTCCTCTTAACCACTTCTAGAAGTCTGATTACGTTGCTGTTTCCCAGAGAACTCTTTCTTTCTTTCTTAATAAAGCACGCTCCCCTGACGAGGCCTTGCTCCAGTCTTTGGGAGCGATGTCAATGGAGCCCGTGCCGTTGCTCTTGTCACACCACCTTCGAGTACGCAACACTCCAAATGTTTGGCTGCGAAAAGTGACAGGGAGAACAGTTGAATTTGCTCCTTTTTAGACTCTCCGCCCCCTCTCCTTCCACAAGCGTAGGTTTTTGACAGCATTCACTCGACAGAATGAAAGTGGTCATCAACCCGTGCTTGGCGGAGCGCGGTTCCTGTGCTTTCACCACCGCGCCAGCTGCCTTTGATCCCTGTAGCTCCAGCTCCTGAGGGAACAGCTCGTCTTCTCTTTGGTGTTGTGGCCTCCCTGTATTTAGTCTTTGGGCAGTTTTTCATCCTGCACCTCCGTCAGGCTTCCTGACTGGCAACCTTCAGATGAGACCCTTCCCTTTGAGGCAAGTCCATTTCTATTACAAACACCATGAGGAGCTTAAGTAAGACCTAAGTATTTACTTACAAAGCAGGTGAGATAGAGCTACTACTTGCTAAAATATTAGAATGTTTCATGCTGTAAGCAGTGACACGAGGCTAAAGAAATTATTTCTTGCGAAGGTGGTGAAGATACAAGCAGACAAAACACTCTGCTATGGCACTTCAAGGTAATATAGGAATGACTATTTTATTCCTGTTCATGGATCTTTGCTCTTCTTAACCCTCTTGCAAGAGCAAACAGCTCCACTCCATCTCACAAAGCCTCTCTTTCCTTATATCTTTCCTAGTGACAACAAACTCATCATAAACATGCAGGCGTAACATTGGGCACACTGGAAGGACACCCAGCATAAGAGCATTAAGCAGAAAACACAAGCTTTCATGGCAATACTAAAGAGAAAATGTCTTGACAAATCATTTCCTTCAGTCAAAATAAACCTAGATCCAAACACATGGTGCCTATATAAAACTTATTATTTTTCAGAAGACTAAAGTTCAAACCACAAATTCCAGAAATGCATATTAAAAATACTATTAGGCATGCAAACTCTAAATTAAATTAAAATTGCAATGAAAAGGGTCTTGGAATCTGTAATTTTGTTATGCTATGCACAAGTGTTTTGAAGGAGGACAATACTTTGGGTACAAAATATTTGGCTGTGTTAAGAATGCAAGTTTCTGCCAAGATTTTTGTTTGATAATACAACCACCCAAGGCTCTCTCTTTTGAAGGAACTGGCTGCGTGTAGCTAAACACAGCTCATTTCTGTGATATAGAAGAAGAACTGAAATGGACTGCAACAAAAGCAACGCGTATCTTCTGGGATCCTTCTAAAATTCAATTGGTTTGGGGAACTTCTGAGGCCTCTGAATTGCATTTACTGTGAAATCTGAATTTCGCAAAAATCCCCAAGTGAAATTCACTTTCAGTTCAAAATGCCATGCGTTGAAAAAATCAGGACAGGTATCGTGGGCGACTAGAAAGACTAAGCAAGAAAAAAGCAAACCCATTACATTGAGTGAAGGGGCCTGAAAGAAGGAGGAGGAATGTTTCCTTGGGCTAGCAGAACATCCCAGCTGGATACCAGCCTTCTCTCCAGCTCCGAGCCCACCACTGCTGCATTTCCTCAGGATGCTGATGGATAGAGGGCTCTTTGCTGGGGCATGTGTCTGTGTGGAGTAGTGGGAGAGGGGGAGATGGGAGAGTAAGGTGACAGAGATGAACAGAACTCCAAAAATGAACCAGGAAGGGGTCGGAGGACACGTTTGTCCTCATGGCAGATCACAAAACACAGCCCCTTCCTCTGAGGAAAGTCAGCAGAAACAACTTCTACTGCCCCGTAAGGGCTATCTCTGTCAATCAGGACACCAGCACCAATGCATCTGCTATTTGTGACCAATCAGAAACCAATTAATTTAGCCGAATAACTGGAAAAATTAAAACACATTGATCACTAGAAAATGGACTGCCAGGCAAGGCACTTGGTATCACCAACACCAAGCTCAGATCATCACAAACCATGTCCGTTCTAGAGCACCAGTCAAAAGAGGAATCCTTGCTATAAGGAGGCTTTTTCCCTTCACCTTCCCTAAGCTTCAAAACACACACATCCACCAGAGAAACAACTTCTGTGCGAGAGGTGTCTTTAAAAGTCTGTCCTGGATCAACATGTCTGAGTCCATCGCTTACTAAAGCGTGTTTATGTGAGTTGATATTTATATTCAGGTATTGAGGAAGAAATAAAAATATAAGGAAGCTCATGAAATAATTACAGTCCTGATGGTGCAGTAAGTGGAGAAGATCCTCCTGTGTGAAAAATACAGGCTGGTCAGAAACTCTTTCAGGTAATAATCGAGTACTTGCCAACAAGCCAGGCTTCAAACTAAATGAGCAAGCACAGACACATTTGTGAGGTATGTGATGATGCCTATGAAATATTCATCCAACACAAGGTTCACTTGCTCATCTGTTACATAGTCCTCACAGTAGGACATTCTTCTTACTAGCAGAGATGCAGGTGCTTACAGGTATATATTGCCAAAATATACTCCATACTCGTACACAACACTCTTCAGTGGAGAAGCTGGGGTATGGAGTAAGACAGAGCTGCACGTACAGCACGCTAGCTACTCCACACTTATCTCTGTAGACATTGAACTTAGCATAGGCTAATCTGTAAAGCAGAGAAAGCCCTTGTAGAAAGACTGTCTTAAAACACGCTAAGAGCATCAACAAGGCAATTTCTGACTAATTGGCTTCCCTCCTCCCCACTGCAAGTCGAACCTTATCAAGCTATAGAAAAGGCACTGAATATGGAGTCCTCTGATGACCTTCCTCCCCTGTGAGACCTGACTGCTCATAATTACCTCTCTCCTATCACAAGGCTGCTCAGTGTCCTTAAAATCCTTTGATGAGGTGCCTTGTGGAATGCCTTTTGGAAATCCAGGTAGGTTATGTGACCTGGCACTCGCTTATCAATTTCCTCGTTGGGTGTCTCTGAAGAGCTCTGAAAGCTACATGAGGTAGGACTTCCCTTTAGCAAAGCCACGTTGCCTCCTCCCAGACATATCATACTTATTTAGGTGTCGAGCATCACCCTTACTTAGGTGTCCAGTCTGCTCCATTCCTCTTGTTTGTTCAGCAGGTGTCACCCATCTGTACTGTACCTGCAATGTGGTGCCTCAAGCTACTCCCAGCCCCCTGGCAAGGATTTAACTCTCCTAACTGCCCCTTAAGTTCTGCTGAGCAATATCAACCCAAATACATAAAATCACCTACTGCCATATGATGCTATGACCTCAGGAAAACGTTACAGATGAGCTTGGGAAGCCTGGTTTACCTTCATGAACATGCTGAATCCAGTTTTAAGGAGATCGGTGAGGCCTGATGACATGTGCTCAATATCAACAGGATCAGGTCGATCAGGGTTACAGATCTCTTCCACCACCTGTTTCAGCAGCGGTCTGTAAGAAGCCTGCACAGAAAGAACAGAGTAAAGCTGTTTAGACTTGGTGCAACCACTCTTCCAAAAGTTTTATTTCCATTAAAGGTAACAGAAATAATTATCCTAGAAAGGAAAACATTCAGAGAGTTAAAAAATTACTGAAGCAGCAGAGGTCTTTGTGACCTTGACCACAAATGGTGTGCACCAGCACAGCATCAACCTGAAAAGACAGGAAGATGGCCACACGTTTGCTCTGCCCCATGTGTGGTATGTGAGTATAGGGAGGCAAGGAAGAAAGGGGGCTTCTAGCTTCTCTGGAATCTTTTAGGAGGTAGTACAGAAAGAAACAGCACTAGGGATGACACCCTGTTGCCCATTGTGCAAGATCTCATTCCTTTTGTAATGATTTTACTAACACTTAAATGGGGATTTTTAGGAGGGGTTGCTGCCTGACCTCTCCTGCCTTCCCACAGGCATCACATCAGCACTGAAGCCTGGATGTCAGCAGGGATGGGAAGAGGCCAACCTGCCCATTTGTCCCTCATGGGAGAGCAGAGCTAAGGAGCAGAGCTTCTGCTTCTAGGGCCAGGGCATCTATAACCGTCTGTGGAAAACGAGAAAAACAGGACAAACAACCCCACCAATATCATGCATGTCAGAGCTTCAGAGAAGTTAGGAACCAGGAAAAGTGGAAATACAAGGTAAAAATGGTCAGTATCCTGGAAGAAAGGACCCACACTTCATCCTCTTCAGGGTCCACAAACCTGTGCTGAGTATGAATTAGTAGTCTAGAAATTTCCACATTCCCTTACCAAGGTATGAACCACTCTGCCATCCTGAAAAAGTTTCCAAGATAAAAATTTTAGGGATTTGTGGAAAGATGCTCTTTAATGAAAATGTGACTTTACTTGGTTTACAGATGGAGCTTTGCTTTGCTGCTTTCAACTTTGTCCAAACTGCAATGGAACCACAGTCATTTCAGGAAGTGCAATAGTCTTAGAAAATTAGAAGCTTTCAAATTAGCACATTTATTTTCCTTTGGGACTGGCCCAGGTATACATCATCCCCCAGATTTCTTAAGGGAATCATTCATTTTGTAAAGATGGTATCTACAAGAAACATCATGCAAGATAAACATAAAAATGGATGGAAAATAAAAAGCAAGCTGCTTGGCTTGAAACTAAAATTTTCTGGAGTAATTAAAGAAATGTTTTTCATCCAACACTTCGCAGTGAGAAACAAAACTTACAGTTTTTTAATACAATCCTGTCAACGAAGATTTATACAACTCATCTAGTTCTTCTCACAACACGTGCATAATTTTTAATTGAGCCAACAAAGCAAATTACAGCAGACATGAGCTGCAGGATCTTTTAGGAGAACATGCCAAGATTTGTGTCAAATCTAGTCATACAATAAACAACTGTTTGAAAATACACATGCAGGCATGAAGTCCCATGTATAAAAATCTGTTTAATATCTTCCTAGATGAGGAACAGAAAGACATTAGGACTGAAATATTTTTGGAGTAGAGTTCATATCACAGTTAAACAGAGAGGCTTACTGCACGAAATTACAGGAAAAATATTATCTGACTTCAGACAAAACAATGTACTCAAAAGATGTTAAAAATGTGCTATGATTTTGCATGTCTGAATTTTCAACACCAAAACTCAGTGCCCTTCAAAATGATCCAGTTCAGCTACACAGATACTAAAAGGCAGATACCACGATCACTTACCTTTTTTTTTTTTAAGCTATGTTAGTTTCAAATATTTTCAAAATCTTTTATGTGTTGAAATTCAACTATTAAAATTTTAGGGAGTTTTTACTTTATACAAGCCCTGATAGCTGCGTTGATTTCTAACTCATATAATGAAACTTTTATCAACTTTGCATTTTGGTGGGGCACAAATTGTGTTTAAAACAGCTGTTAAAAACCTTGATGGCTATGGGACATAACTCAGATGAGATTATAAGGAGACAGAAAAAGAGAGAAAAAGAAAGAGAATGAGAAAAGGAGAGGGATGAAGGAATATACTTCAAATCAAGATGAAAGGAAAAGAGAAGTAGTTACAATATAAGGCAAAATTTGGGAATGTGTATGGCCACGGGAAGGGCATGACTGGAAGGAGCTGAACTGATCGCACGCAACCGAGGGATTAACACGTGCCAGTCAAAAGACAGGTCTATTTGTAGAGAGGTGTGTGTACGATGAAAAAACCCATACTGCCTGCTTATTTCTGCTACTCTAAACCTGCTGAACTGCCCTCAGCAGAGGGTTGGCCCTATTCAAGCAATTAGATCCATCCTGCAGCCAGATGAGGGGGCTGCACAGTGTTAATACATCCCTTGCTGCGTTCCAGCCTTTAGCCCAAAGCAAACAACCTGGGTTACATCCAAAGAACATACTGATGCTAATTAAACTTCCAGGAAACTTTTAGAGGGTATTTTCTTATCATCTGACTGCCCCCTCACTGAACTGTATCAAATGTTTAACAATTTTCTCCATTTCAGACACATGACTGGTCCTAAATATTAGGAGACCTCAGTAATAGGTTTTCTCCACCTTAGTTTTCCAGCGACATTTTGCAACACTCCTGATTCCTGTTCTTACAAAGCAATGCTTAATTTGAACTACATCCCTCTGCTGGTCTACAGCATACTTATGAGTTTGGAAGGGTTTTTTTCTGGCTCGAGGTCAGAATCAAGTTTTATGGTCTGTCTCTAAATCACTGTATGTGCTTTCCATTGTAAAACTCTATTTTTAACTGAAAAAGTTAAAACACTTCAGGGGAGATGGAGAGAGAAAAAACCACTGTGTATTAGTCCTGATGAGATATAGTAATATCACAGAATCACGGAATGGTAGGGGTTGGAAGGGACCTCTGGAGATCATCTAGTCCAAGTCCCTGCCAGAGCAAGGTCAACCAGAGCAGGCTGGACAGGAAACCATCCAGGTGGGCTTTGAATATCTCCACAAAAGGAGACTCCAAACCCTCTCTGGGCAGCCTGTTCCAGTGCTCCATCACCCTCAAAGTAAAGAAGTTTTTCCTCACGTTGAGATGGAAATTCCTGTGTTCTTGTTTGTGCCTGTTGCCCCTTGTCCTGTCACCAGGCTCCACTGAAGAGTCTGGCCCCATCCTCTTGACACCTGCCCTTTAGATATTTAGATACCATCGTTCACGTGTTCATATCTTAGAAAGAAAAGGTGCCTTTTTCACCTCTTTACAAATGGGACTGCCTCTCGCACATATAGAGATGGGAAAGAAAGTACAAGGGATTACAGTTGCTGTATGGATACTGTGAGAGGTATTAGTCCAAAACCACCTTGAGCTAGCCCTGCCTTTCACAGGCATCTATGGCATATCACAGTGCTGCAGAGCAAATCCCAAATGTCTTCCTCAGACAATTCTTTTATTAACATGGATATGCCTGAGTTTGCATGAAGAACTTGAGGAAGTTCTTGGTGAATAGGTCAATTACAAAATCCGTACTTAAATATCTTCCACATGGGCAGAACACATACAGGATTAGCACATCAGCAAAATTAGTGCTGTATTTTTGACAGCATGCTAGAGAAATCACATACACAGGGGGGAAAAAAAAAAAAAAAAAAGAAAAGATCCACTTGCCTGGTGGGTGTTGCTGCCTGGATTATGTATGGAATTAAACTGTTTCATGTGCATTCGAGCTCTCGCAATATCCCTGAGGGACCGAAAGATCTCGTCCACTGCATCTGTGGCTTTCTGAGATGTCAGGTTCAGCAACGAGTCGCAGCCTAAAGACATAAAGAAACGTGGAGCTGAGCGAGTGAAAAACTTCCAAGTGCTTTGATAATAAGCAGTAGCAAAAGGTAACTGGGCGGAAATTTTAAATTAGTTTCATCATGTTGTATTCCAGAAACTCAGGGGCTGGTTAGACAGCATGTCCCCAGCATGGCCTGGGTCTCTGTAGCTAAGCAAGAAGCCATAAATCCTAGATGGTGAGCAAAGGGAAGAGCACCCCTCTAACCACATTTGTCACCTAGAACAGACAGCAATTTCATGGGCGCAGGGTACCATTTGCTCTCCCCAGCAAACTGAGGATCCCATAACAGCAGGTCCTGAGGAAGAGCCCCAGATGCAAAGGAGCCAGCTGGTTTGCTGGTCTCCACAGGGTGAAACAGCCACAAAGAGGGGAATTGCTCCTCAAGCATCTTACCCAGGCCCTAGCTGGCAGCCTGCCCTCTCCAAATGCGTTTCCTACCTTTGAGACAAGAAAAATTGGAAAAATTCATGCTAAATACAGAGGAAATGATAGCTACACATTGGGAAGAGCACTAAAGAAACAATAAAAAAGGTGGTACTTTCCAAATTTACAGGGAATTTATAACAGCTAATCTGGATCACTTTCACATCTTTGCATTCTGTACAGCAGGAAAAAAAAATATATAAAATGTATACACATACACACACTTAAAGAGGTCTGAAACTATTCCTACAAGATGGTGACTGGGCACTGAGCTTTCATTTGTCTGAGTGTTATTTGTTGAAAGGCTCCAAGTCAGCTACTCCTCCCAGGGAACAGGTCAAATGACTGTACTTCTGCAGGGCTACATCAGACCAAGCTGGTGAGGATTTATGCCATTATATCTCCTAAAGCAATGAAGCAAACATGAACCGGGTCATGGTGACTCCTGCGTTATAATCCTAAGGCAGACACTTCTATACTGTTGGATGGGGCTCTTGAAATTATTAGTATTTTTTTTAAATGAGTGCAAAATAACTTACAGAAGTGTTTTTGTTGTTATGTTATGTGCAAGATCTGCGTGCTCTGATACTTGGACTGACCAAAGCTTGGTTTTTCACTTGGCTGAGGAGCCTGTATGAGTGAAAGTCCTGAACACAAACCCCACTCTGCGGCTCATTACCCTGCTCCACTGGTGAAATCAGAGAAATGTCTCCTACGAGTGATCTCGTGCTGGTTTATGTGCAAGAGAACAGTGTCCATCAGCTGAAAAAAGTGATACTGAACACCTCCAGGACAGATGAGGTGGATAAATAAAGCCTGAGGTGACAAATCCTGGTTTATATTTATCACTAGCACAGGCAAAATGTTCAGAGCAGAGCTGGTATTGTCGCTGTGCTTTTACCCTGCCCATGGGAAGACACAGGAATGAGAAAATGGGACAGTCCCTGTCAGCTCCCAACTCAGTCTGTGCATATTTCATAGTTAACATTTATAAAGCATTTTGCAAATGAAAATTAAAATGAAAAGCCATATCTCATTAGTGTGTTACTAGATTTTTCTTCTCTCCAAGAGACAAGCTTTCTCTGTTTTAGCCACATAAGAGATAAGCAGCTCCTATCTAATGTAAGTAGTTAAATTTTCTTTTTCCTCTCTTTAATCCTCTACTAGCAAAAGCCATCGCTTTTGGCCAAGCCACCTCTGGAATGTTTCCTTTTGCTAGCAAATGCAAGTCCCCCACGTTGAACAAGTTCAGGCAAGGTAAAAATCACATCAAGTTTGCTATGCTTTGCACACTCTTCTTTTTTTCTTAATTGTTTATTTTCTTGGACCATTTAAAAGCCTTTTGTTTTGGCCCTGCAGTTATTTTTCTCATAAAAAGAAATATTTGTTTCCTTCTCCTCTTGGGATCACTTCTCTTTCTTTCTCACTTTATTATAACAAGAGCCTTTTGACCAAGAAGTTTCAAACCAGCTTGTCACTTCCCACTTCTGGAACCGCAGGGCAGTTTCAAGTGGGCACAGTCTGGTGTTGTGGCTGGAAGCCCACGAGATGCTCCTCAACTTGCCCTTTGCTTTTTGTTACTGGGCCAATCTTCTCTTGAGCAATTTCTCGGTGAAGTGCAGTCCCTGTAGCATCACCCACTGCTCAAACCTCATTGCCAGGGAAATGCTGTCTGGAGCTCGGGCTTTGCTTTACAGCTTGGGCTGACACACTTTGGGGCTGGAGGAAGCCATGAAATCATCTACCCACACCCTCTGTGTAACAGGCCACATCACTTCATCACTGTTGCCTGGATCGAACCGAGAAGAAAATGCTCCAGGAAAACCTTATAGCAGTTTTCCAGTATCCGAAGGGGGCCTACAAGAAAGCTGGAGAGGGACAAGAGGGACTGGTGATAGGACAATAGGTAATGGCTTCAAACTGGAAGAGAGGAGATTTAGATTAGATATAAGGAAGAAATTCTTTACTGTGAGGGTGGCGAGACACTGGAACAGGTTGTCAAGAGAAGCTGTGGAGGCCCCAGCCCTGGAGGTGTCTAAGGCCAGGCTGGATGGGGCTTTGAGCAACCTGCTCTGGTGGGAGGTGTCCCTGCCCAGGGGGGTTGGAACTAGATGGTCTTTAAGGTACCTTCCAACTCAAACCATTTCATGATCCTATGAAGAGCCCTTGCATGCCAGCAGCTCCTCACCCTCCATGTTCAGATGAGCAGACCAGAGTGCATCTTGAGGAGCACAAGAGCAAGGGCTGAATGTTTCCTTCCAATCTCCATGGCAGAATGTGGTGCTGAACTGGTTTGGAGCAGGGGGGTACTGGGAGTTGAAGCTTCAGTCCCCTGCCAGTTTAACTAGATGGAAGAAAAGGGCCGTACTTCCAGAAGTTTCTCTAAAATTTGGCTTCCTTGGGACTCCAGATCAAGAAATATCACACGTCCGGAGAAGCCATGGCTCTCTTTCTTCCAGCCTGACATCCAGTTCTTCTTTTAAAAAAATCTATATTAAAAAATAAGTCTTCTTTGCCATCTTACTGTTGAGATTAATAACAAAAATCTCAGCTTCTCCAAAGCCTGCTGCCTACCTGTCACACTGCAGTAGGTTTGAAGAGGGGAGGTGGGCTTCTCCCCAGCCTGGAGAACAACAGAAGCTTGTGTTGTACAAATGGCAGGCGGCTGCAAATCACCTCCCGTTCACACCTTCCCCGTCAATGGGGCTGTGTGCACATATGGAGAGCAGAACACAATCCCTCTTCTCTGCCCGCTTCATGCTACCCAGAAATCTGCTCCTTTCACAACAATGAAGAGGTGGAATACATTAGCTGCTGCACAGCTCATGTGCTAATTAAAACAACTCTTCCTGTTACTGGTTTTGTTTTTTTTTTCCATGGGAAGTTAAATGGCATTAGGAGAGCATGCTGAATGAATTCCTTTGAAACCCTATTATATATGGGAAAAGGCATTTAAATGAAATTTGGGGATATTGCTTTCCTGTCAGACTTGAAGAAGCCCAGTTGTAGAAAGAAGAAAATCACCATTAACCAGCATGGGACTAAAAGTTGTGGAAAAAAGAGTATCACTGTTAGCCAGCACAGGACTAAAGATTTTAAAGCGCATATCCATGATCTCAATGCTATCCCAAGAAGAACACAACCTATTTCTGCTTACACAGTGCCTGATCTCACTGATAGTGCTTCTGTTCTGTGTCCAGCCACTTGTGTGGAATTTGAGGGGTCAGAGTGCAGGACCTGCACCCAGTGCCTAACAAGATAGAACTACCAGTCCTTATGTTTTACCTACTTTTGAACTTTTTCATCAGAAAGAACACATCTCCTCTCAATCTACACATCTGCATAACCATTAGTACCAGAACGAACCCATTTTCAAAAGAAGCTTGAAAAGAGGAGAATGGAGATGCTCATCTCTACAGTCTGGGCGACCCAGAAACCAAACTGGACCAGTTTTTCAACTGATTTCTGGAATCGGAAGAAAGATACTTTACGAAAAGGACACAGACATTGTGAACCCACAAGATCTATAATTACACAGTGGCATGTGTTTGATTATCCCCTCCCTGAATGCAACAAATGAGTATTTCAGACCTGTGCATCAGAAAATCTTTCACTGTGTTTTGTCTCTTTTGGTATGTGGTCCAGGTGTTATAAACAGACTTGCTCTTTCTCTAAAGCAATATGATAAATATTAGCACTTCGTGAAGGTATCTTTGATGCTTCCCAAGACATCACTGAAAGGCTACAATTCTTACAAAGTTAAAAATTTAGGAAAGCTGAATTTACCAATTTACTCTGCTTTATTGGTATTAGGCTCTCTCTACCTTAGGCTCTCTCTACAACTCATTTACAGAAAAAAACACGATATAAACCCTGGAAACCCTGGAATGGACCTGGCAGAGTAGCCAAGCTGTTTTAGAAGCACAGGCTAAACCAGAAAACTGGTACTCTGAAGAAGAGAAAATCCAGCATCCCAGCATCAGGATTGCATTATGCAAGCTATTTTCTAGATATGCAGAGTTAATTTGCTTGTCAGCGAAAAGACAGAGAAAGAACAGAGATATAGGGTGCCTTGAGGGTCAGAACTCAAAATACAGCACCATGGTATTAAACTAATGAAAATCTTCTATTTTTATATGTTAGATGATAGTATAGCAACGGGGGTCCCTCTTTTTCTAGCAGATAAACCTAAAAGCATGTATATATATACCCAAAGCCATATGTTTTATAATAGTTTTGATATATTCATGCATTAAGATTGTTATGAAAAAGTAGGTACGAATGCATATGGTTACACAGACCACGGCTGGTTTTTGCAAGGAAAAAAAAACGTGTGAAAACCCAAACTGGGATGATTTTTGTGTGATTCTCCTCTCTTCTTTCTTCCCAATGGATTGATTCTACCACACATTTGAGTCTTTATTCTTAAGCCTGATTCATATTAAATCATTCTCTCTGCTGCATCTAAAAGGGAAGAGGTGCAGAGATAACCTGTCCCTACCCACAGTCTCGAGATGTTCTTGCCCCAGCCCCTACCAGCAATCACAG